GTCAGAATGGTGCAGTGAGGGGTCAGAATGGTACAGTGAGGGGTCAGAATGGTACAGTGAGGGGTCAGAATGGTACAGTGAGGGGTCAGAATGGTACAGTGAAGGGTCAGAATGGTACAGTGAGGGGGCAGAATGGTACAGTGAGGGGTCAGAATGGTACAGTGAGGGGGCAGAATGGTACAGTGAAGGGTCAGAATGGTACAGTGAGGGGGCAGACTGGTACAGTGAGGGGTCAGAATGGTACAGTGAGGGGTCAGAATGGTACAGTGAGGGGGCAGAATGGTACAGTGAGGGGTCAGAATGGTACAGGCAGAATGGTACAGTGAGGGGTCAGAATGGTACAGTGAGGGGTCAGAATGGTACAGTGAGGGGTCAGAATGGTACAGTGAGGGGGCAGGGGTCAGAATGGTACAGTGAGGGGGCAGAATGGTACAGTGAGGGGTCAGAATGGTACAGTGAGGGGTCAGAATGGTACAGTGAGGGGTCAGAATGGTACAGTGAGGGGTCAGAATGGTACAGTGAGGGGTCAGAATGGTACAGTGAGGGGTCAGAATGGTACAGTGAGGGGTCAGAATGGTACAGTGAGGGGGCAGAATGGTACAGTGAGGGGTCAGAATGGTACAGTGAGGGGTGAGGAGGCAGAATGGTACAGTGAGGGGGCAGAATGGTACAGTGAGGGGTCAGAATGGTACAGTGAGGGGTCAGAATGGTACAGTGAGGGGTCAGAATGGTACAGTGAGGGGGCAGAATGATACAGTGAGGGGTCAGAATGGTACAGTGAGGAGGCAGAATGGTACAGTGAGGGGTCAGAATGGTACAGTGAGGGGGCAGAATGGTACAGTGAGGGGTCAGAATGGTACAGTGAGGGGGCAGAATGGTACAGTGAAGGGTCAGAATGGTGCAGTGAGGGGTCAGAATGGTACAGTGAGGGGTCAGAATGGTACAGTGAGGGGTCAGAATGGTACAGTGAGGGGTCAGAATGGTACAGTGAAGGGTCAGAATGGTACAGTGAGGGGGCAGAATGGTACAGTGAGGGGTCAGAATGGTACAGTGAGGGGGCAGAATGGTACAGTGAAGGGTCAGAATGGTACAGTGAGGGGGCAGAATGGTACAGTGAGGGGTCAGAATGGTACAGTGAGGGGTCAGAATGGTACAGTGAAGGGTCAGAATGGTACAGTGAGGGGTCAGAATGGTACAGTGAGGGGTCAGAATGGTACAGTGAGGGGTCAGAATGGTACAGTGAAGGGTCAGAATAGTAGAGTGAGGGGGGGCAGAATGATACAGTGAGGGGGGGGCAGAATGGTACAGTGAGGGGGTCAGAATGGTACAGTGAGGGGTCAGAATGGTACAGTGAGGGGTCAGAATGGTACAGTGAGGGGTCAGAATGGTACAGTGAGGGGTCAGAATGGTACAGTGAGGGGGCAGAATGGTACAGTGAGGGGTCAGTATGGTACAATGAGGAGGCAGAATGGTACAGTGAGGGGTCAGAATGGTACAGTGAGGGGTCAGAATGGTACAGTGAGGGGTCAGAATGGTACAGTGAGGGGTCAGAATGGTACAGTGAGGGGGCAGAATGGTACAGTGAGGGGGCAGAATGGTACAGTGAAGGGTCAGAATGGTACAGTGAGGGGGCAGAATGGTACAGTGAGGGGTCAGAATGGTACAGTGAGGGGTCAGAATGGTACAGTGAAGGGGGGCAGAATGGTACAGTGAAGGGTCAGAATAGTACAGTGAGGGGGTCAGAATGGTACAGTGAGGGGGTCAGAATGGTATAGTGAGGAGTCAGAACGTTACAGTGAGAGGGGGAAGACCCTGACGTCACCGTCCAAGTCCTCTTACAAAGTACAAGAGTGACTCTCAGCTCTCAGACACCCTGGGGGGGGGGAGTGAGTGTTTGGGGCGGCCACAGCTACACTGTTTAAGGTAAACATACTCCATCTGTGTGTTTGGAAGTGTTTTTGGTGTCTTGTCCATTAGAAGGGAGGTGCTGGTAGGCGCCGTATGTTGGTCCGGCAGATATCTGATATAGATGGTTCTATATCTGATATCTGATATAGAGGGTTCTATATCTGATATCAGATATAGATGGTTCTATATCTGATATCTGATATAGAGGGTTCTATATCTGATATCTGATATAGAGGGTTCTATATCTGATATCTGATATAGAGGGTTCTATATCTGATATCTGATATAGAGGGTTCTATATCTGATATCTGATATAGATGGTTCTATATCTGATATCAGATATAGATGGTTCTATATCTGATATCAGATATAGATGGTTCTATATCTGATATCTGATATAGAGGGTTCTATATCTGATATCTGATATAGAGGGTTCTATATCTGATATCTGATATAGAGGGTTCTATATCTGATATCTGATATAGATGGTTCTATATCTGATATCTGATATAGAGGGTTCTATATCTGATATCAGATATAGATGGTTCTATATCTGATATCTGATATAGAGGGTTCTATATCTGATATCTGATATAGATGGTTCTATATCTGATATCTGATATAGAGGGTTCTATATCTGATATCAGATATAGATGGTTCTATATCTGATATCTGATATAGAGGGTTCTATATCTGATATCAGATATAGATGGTTCTATATCTGATATCTGATATAGATGGTTCTATATCTGATATCTGATATAGAGGGTTCTATATCTGATATCAGATATAGATGGTTCTATATCTGATATCTGATATAGATGGTTCTATATCTGATATCTGATATAGAGGGTTCTATATCTGATATCAGATATAGATGGTTCTATATCTGATATCTGATATAGAGGGTTCTATATCTGATATCAGATATAGATGGTTCTATATCTGATATCTGATATAGAGGGTTCTATATCTGATATCAGATATAGATGGTTCTATATCTGATATCTGATATAGATGGTTCTATATCTGATATCAGATATAGATGGTTCTATATCTGATATCAGATATAGATGGTTCTATATCTGATATCAGATATAGATGGTTCTATATCTGATATCTGATATAGATGGTTCTATATCTGATATCTGATATAGAGGGTTCTATATCTGATATCTGATATAGATGGTTCTATATCTGATATCTCATACATCCCCCTTTTACCCTGTCGTAGCTCATTCGATTAAGGCAGTGTCTGGGCTGCTCCCGAACGCAGGTTCGAATCCTCGTCACGGCCCTTGTGGATTTGTTCTTTAGATGGTTCTAAATTACACCCTCCCATAGAGTTCTAGACCCGGCTGCTCTCATCCGTGGCGGCTGTTGATTGGTCGGTGTTACACTGTTGCCAGTTACGCGCGCTTGTTCCAGGTAATTGGAACAATATAACAACCAGAACCAATTATCATTTTAGTAAAGAATTAAAACTGCGCTTCGGGTTAGGCAAGAGAAGTGGAATAGCTTGTACTTTATTTTGGCTAAAATGAAAGAAAAATGAAAAAGTTGGTGATGAATGTAAGACACGAGGCGCGGATAACAGCGCCCCGGGCACCGCCACGCCCACCATGCAACCCGTTCTCGCAAATTTAATAAGCCAATATTGACTTATTAAATATGTGCATAGGTGACATACTTAACATAATAGTTTCCCTTGAAAAGCTTCATAGAAAACACCGACCTTACCTAACCTACTTAGTATGTTAAGATAAGCATCTTATTGCTTCGTAATTACAATTATTACCTAACCTATAATAGGTACAGGTTAAGTAATAATTGTAATTACGAAGCAATAAGATGCTTATCTTAAGATACTAACAAGGTTAGGTAAGGTCGGTGTTTTCTATGAATCTTTATAAGGGTATCTATTATGTTTAGTATATCACCTATGCACGTAGTTAATAAGTCAATATTGACTTTACGAATTTGCGAGAACGGGTTGCACCATGCCCAGGGTATAGAAAAGGGAAGATAATCCCCTCAAACTTTGCTGAAAATCTTTGCCTGAGACAGCTTAGGGAAGACGTCTTGGAGGTATGTGAAGGCGGCCGCCTTATGAAAGAACAACTCGTTCTCGCACTTGCTTCTAGTCAATATTGGCTTGTTAATAAGTGTATATGTGACATACTAATTTATTGTGAATATTTTAGATTACCTTGAAAAGCTTAATAGAAAACACCGGCCTAACCTAACCTTCTTAGTATGTTAAGATAAGCATCTTATTGCTTCTTAATTACAATTATTACTTAACTTATACCTATATTGATATTACAGTTTTATAAAAATAATAAAACAAAACCAAAATATTTAAATAAATTGTAAATTAACTCAGGATATTGTCAAATATTGTATAAAATCTCTATTGTTTAATAAAACTGAAAAAGAAATTCCTAATATGAAAACTGGTGTTAAGCAAATTTATAGGAAGAGTTTATACCTTAAAAACAAAGTATAACTTCTCATATACCACATATGTACTTATTAAGCAGCCAAATAGTGACTACAAACAATAAGTCATATATGTACTGTCTTGTGCGAGAGCGGGCTGCAAAGAATGTGCCACAGGTGTGGATAAGGACGCGACAGACTTTCAAATCCCTCCAAGACGTCTACTCTAATCTGAGGCAAAGATTGATGGTATTAACAGCCATTTTGTGTATCTTGGAGACTCCAAGACCACCACCACCACCCAAAATTGTGTTATGGAGTCCATGCCGGCCACCAGACTAGTCCCGGACTCAAGGGATCTAAGGTATGAGGTCACAATTAGAGAGATGAGTTAGTGGAGACATTATTATCATATGAAAAGTTAAGGATATGTGATATGTGTGGCACATATACAAGGAAACACTTGAGACAATTAAGTGCTCGGATGAGGTGCATATATTTTAGAGTACTTTTAATCTCAGAGTAGAAATATATGCACTATAGAGATATAGAGAGAGACGCCATATAGAGCTTCACGTGGAGATAGAGCGTCGAGAGGCAGTGCCCAGGAGCTGATTACAAACCTTGTAATCACAGTTATGTGAGTACAGGCAGAAAGAAACAAGAACGCAGGCAAGAGTGCAGGCCGGGGTGCAGATACAGGCCGGGGTGCAGGCCGAGGTACAGGCCAGGGTGCAGGCCGAGGTACAGGCCAGGGTGCAGGCCCGGGGTGCAGGCCGGGGTGCAGGCCGAGGTACAGGCCGGGGTGCAGGCCGGGGTGCAGGTCGAGGTACAGGCCGGGGTACAGGCCGGGGTGCAGGCCGGGGTGCAGGTACAGGCCAGGGTGCAGGCCGAGGTACAGGCCAGGGTGCAGGCCGAGGTACAGGCCGAGGTACAGGCCGGGGTACAGGCCGGGGTGCAGGCCGAGGTACAGGCCAGGGTGCAGGCCGGGGTGCAGGCCAGGGTGCAGGCCGGGGTACAGGCCAGGGTGCAGGCCGGGGTACAGGCCAGGGTGCAGGCCGGGGTACATGCCGGGGTGCAGGCCAGGGTGCAGGCCGGGGTACAGGCCGGGGTACAGGCCGGGGTGCAGGCCGAAGTACAGGCCGAGGTGCAGATGCAGGCCGGGGTGCAGGCCGAGGTACAGGCTGAGGAACACTGAGATAACCGGGCAGCCAGCCAGCTCACCATCGAGTTTCTCTAAAATCCAGACAGGCAGTTAAAGAAATAGTCCAGCAATTAGCCAGCCAGTCACTATCCTCCCCCTCCCCTCATCACACACACACACACACACACACACACACACACACACACACACACACACACACACACACACACACGCCGGAAAATAAATGTACAGGCAGACAGTCCAGTAAATGATGACTCAAGTGCTGAAAGACTTTAGAAGAGACTTAGAACAGACTTTAGAAGCGACTTAGAACAGACTTTAGAAGAGACTTAGAGGAGGAAGTTACCTACATTAAGGTAAACAAGGTTTGTGGGAAGACAGTAACTCAACAGACAACACTAAGAAACCAAAGGAGAAACTTGAGAGTGGGAAAAAAACACATAAGTAGAACTGGGATATATGGAACAGCAAGGAACGATTACGTGAACACAAGAGAATCAGGAAAAAAAACAGTGAAATAGACTTTGTATCCAGAACGATGAGAGAATCGAAGTTACTACATAGTCATACACGAAGGAAAAAGACAGAGACAGAGATTCAGAGACAGAGACAGAGACAGAGACAGAGACTCAGAGACAGAGACAGAGACAGAGACAGAGACTCAGAGACAGAGACAGAGACTCTTAGACTCCACAAGAGGTGAGGAAAACATCCTGAACACGACAACGGTATTTATGACGAACTAAACGGCCGTTTCCACGGACTGTTCAACTGAGCATAAACAGTTGCCAGAGCCAGAAGAGGTTGTAACCTTACATGAAAGACTGACAAATGTTCAGGCAAGAGCAGAGGAAGTAGTGGATCATCTAGTATCAATACATGAACCTAAACTTACTGGACCAGACAGCGTATCGTCATGGATGTTGAAAGAAGGGTCAGAGGCCCTCAGCGTACCTCTGGCATGGATCTTTAATGATTCCATTGATGAAGGGATTAATGCCCAGCTGCTGGAGAATGTAAACAAACATCAACATGGTTTAGGGAAGGGAAACCATGACTAACAAACTTACAAGAGTTTCATAATAAAAAGGAAAAAAAATATAAGAAGACAGAAGTTGGCCAGATGGCATATTTCTGGACTGCCAAAACCCCTAAGACTCAGTTCCACACACGAGATTACTACACAAAGTTGAAAGACAGACAGCAATAAGTAAAAGAGCAGTGACATGCGTGAGAGAGTACCTGACAGACAGGAGTCAGAGTCACAGTGAGGGGAAGACGTTGGACTGACGCAAGTGGAGATGCTCAAGATCTGCAACCTGTCCTCTCAAAAAGAACGTCGCTTTTGGCCGTTTGCCAGTATGGCCGAATATGGACGTAATTTGAAAATGAAAAAAAAAAATGAATATATATTTTGGATTTTTTTTCAACAACAGTAAGTTAAGGGTCCTCTGATAGGTTAGGTGGGCAGGAAATTCTCATAAAGTTTCAAAACGTTATGAAAAACGTTAATGGAAAGTATCCTTTTCTAACCTTACCGAGTAAGCCGGACGACTCAAGCAGAAAACGGGACAGTACGTCACTTTTGTGAGTGGATTTCATTTCAAATTACGTCCAAATTTGGCCATAGCGCCGCACATACGAGCCAAAAGTGACGTTATTTTTAAGAGGACGGGTTGACTATTAATACTGTATTATAACGAAATAACTACAGGACTGAGTCCTACATGTCAATGTTTGTGAAGATGCAGAAATAAAGGAGTCGAGACAGATGAGTACTGTAAAGTACTGCAAGATGACTTAGACAAGGTGCAGAGTTGATCCAAAAAATATCTTCTGGGTTTCAGCAAAGGGACGTGTAAGGAGATACAAGTGGGAACACGTGACAGGAGACCATCTTCCCTGTCTCCTTCTCCCTGGAGGAGACCTGGGAGACTTTACATCAAACCTAACTTGTGAGGCTCGTATAAACAGGATAACGTCAGCTGCACACGCCACACTATAGCGATAGTCACAACATCCTTCAACAACTTAAAGCAGGTTTAACGACCACCGCGTACATGAGACCAGCTATAGTGTATGCAGCCCCATCCTGGAGCCCCCACCTCAAAAAATATATAAAAAAAACTCGAGAATGTACAGAGGGTTGAAACGAAACTTTTTCAGGAATCGCGAGAGATATAGTATGAAGAGAGACTGAAAGTACTAGACCTAACATCGCGAGGAAAAAAAAGGCGAGATATGATAGTCACAATATTCAGTGGGAAAGACAGTGGAAAAAAGATAAAATGTTCACCATAAATACCAGTAGAACAAAAGCGAGCAAAGTTTGAACACATGAACCATGGAAATGTTACTTTTTTTAGCAGAAGATAATTAGGGAAACTGTAACGACCAAACGACCAGGTTATAGAAGGGAACTACATTGTTTCCAACAACAAACTTGACAGAACACTATATGGAAAGTCATTGCTTCAGACGACCTGCCTCCTCCCCTTGAGTGCTGACCTGGCCCTTGAGTGCTGACCTGCCCCTTGAGTGTTGAGCTTCCCCTTGAGCGCAAAGTTGTCCACTTACATGTCTCAGTCACTATTAAGAGGTAAATGTCCTACTCCCAATAACCCCCTCCTCCCCCCTTGACCCGTCATGGGGCAGTATGAGAAGTCATGGGGCAGTATGGGAGGTCATGGGGCAGTATGGGAGGTCATGGGGCAGTACGGGAGGTCATGGGGCAGAATGGGAGGTCATGGGGCAGTACGGGAGGTCATGGGGCAGTATGGGAGGTCATGGGGCAGTATGGGAGGTCATGGGGCAGTATGGTAGGTCATGGGGCAGTATGGAAGGTCATGGGGCAGTATGGAAGGTCATGGGGCAGTATGGGAGGTCATGGGGCAGTATGGGAGGTCATGGGGCAGTATGGGAGGTCATGGGGCAGTATGGGAGGTCACCAGAGGTTTAAGGGACGTCATGGAGGAAGCCCTCCATTAAAACCCACTTAGCGGCAGGTTACTGTCAATAGAAGGAAGGCGGCCTCTCAGTATGCAAATGAAGCCCCAGATGAGGGTAATATGGGGCAGGAATATTAGCGCCAGGAGCCTGTTTTTGTCTCGCCCACGCTCTCTGTCTCTCTCTGTGGCTCTCTGTCTCTCTCTGTGGCTCGCTGGCTCTCTCTGTGGCTCGCTGTCTCTCTGGCTGTGGCTGTGGCTGTGGCTGTGGCTGTCTCTCTGGCTGTGTGTCTATTTCTTCCTGTCTCCCTCCCTACAATAGCTAGGCTCATTGGATATAATGGAGCAGAACATCTTCATATTGAATATTACAGTGATCAGCCGGCCAGTCGGGCCGTCGCAACACGGCCCGGTGTTGCGACGGCCCGGTGTTGCGACGGCCCTGTGTTGCGACGGCCCTGTGTTGCGACGGCTCTGTGTTGCGACGGCCCTGTGTTGCGACGGCCCTGTGTTGCGACGGCCCTGTGTTGCGACGGCCCTGTGTTGCGACGGCTCTGTGTTGCGACGGCTCTGTGTTGCGACGGCCCGGTGTTGCGACGGCCCTGTGTTGCGACGGCCCTGTGTTGCGACGGCCCTGTGTTGCGACGGCCCTGTGTTGCGACGGCCCTGTGTTGCGACGGCCCTGTGTTGCGACGGCCCTGTGTTGCGACGGCTCTGTGTTGCGACGGCTCTGTGTTGCGACGGCCCTGTGTTGCGACGGCCCTGTGTTGCGACGGCCCTGTGTTGCGACGGCCCTGTGTTGCGACGGCCCTGTGTTGCGACGGCCCTGTGTTGCGACGGCTCCAGATCTGCGTTGAAACGTCAGGAAGTGAGAGGGTGGACGTAGCTCCGTCAAGCACTTGGACAAGGAGCGTGCCTGTGACAGGCAGCAAGACAGGAGAGGGGTCGGTCGTCAAGCTGGGAGAGTATGCAGTCAAACGTGCAGGATAAAAACATGTTTTGCGGCGCCTTGTCCTCGTCGACTGTAGTGTTATTTGAAGGGGGAAACTCAGTAGATCAAAAACAATAATATTGCTGGTGTATTTTCAGAGCTGCGCACACACACATTGACGGCGGTAAAACAATGGAAACAAACTTGTGTTTGGACAGGACCCCGCAGGCCATGATTTTCTCCCTGTTTTGTGGGTTTATTTGACTTGCTGAAGCCTGAATCAGGCGTGCGACCCCCCCTCAGGACAGCCTTGGAGAGCGGCTGGCAGTCACGTACAGTACGTACTCTGATGTACGTACCTAGGAGAGAAACTATAAGTAATACTAGCATATACAGGTTCATTAATAATGGATAAATACAATTAATAATAGGTGTAATCATTATTTTCGATCATAGCTGAAGGTATGATGAGTCCCCCGTCCCTGGCTGAGCTGGGTGGAATGAGCAGGGAGTCCCCTTGGTGGGTAATAGGAGGACTAGCTCCCCCTAGGCGGAGCCGGTCGGCCGAGCGGACAGCACGCTGGACTTGTGATCCTGTGGTCCTGGGTTCGATCCCAGGCGCCGGCGAGAAACAATGGGCAGAGTTTCTTTCACCCTATGCCCCTGTTACCTAGCAGTAAAATAGGGTACCTGGGTGTTAGTCAGCTGTCACGGGCTGCTACCTTGGGGTGGAGGCCTGGTCGAAGACCGGGCCGCGGGGACACTAAAAAAGCCCCGAAATCATCTCAAGATAACCTTATAGGAGCCAACAGAACGACTTTCTTCCCCTACAGGAGGCGACGGAACGACTTTCTTCCCCTACAGGAGGCGACGGAACGACTTTCTTCCCCTACAGGAGGCGACGGAACGACTTTCTTCCCCTATAGGAGACAACGGAAGGATTTCCTTCCCCTCCAAGAGGCAACAAAAGGACTTTGCTCACACCCACGGACGATAATTGACTAAAATCTTCCCCCGAATTTCATTCCAATATTTATTGACGCGCCAAAGTAAACTTGATTGACCGACAGCGTCGTAATTTCATCCTAACCTTCTTGTCTTGAACTTTCTCACGTATCTTTTGAGAAATCAAGTTGTCTAGAGACCTTAATAAGGCA